TTCATTCGAAATAGAGTATATATCGTAAATCTCTTTATCTTTTGTCTTACATTTTATTATTCGAACATGATAATAATGCGTGGAATAAGTTTCATATTCAAATTTTAATCAACATTAAATGAAAATAACAAATGAAATAAAGTTTTATTGTTTTAGAATTTTATAATCGGGAATTTTAGGCCTTATACTAATCACTTTCAACATTATTTGCGAACAACATAAATCCAGAGATCATAATATACATCAATATGTTTATGTAATCGATAAACCATTAATAACAATATGAAGTAATATATGTAATAAAAAGATAAAGAGATTTACGATATATACTCTATTTCGAATGAATGAAATTAAACAAACACGACGACTATCATCTCAAATAACAAGCTAAATAAGCCATGATAGAGTAGGATTCTTTCCCTATCATGAAAATTTGGAAGTGTACAATAAATTTTCTAATCCGAATCATTTAAAATTGACTATTATCTAAAAAAACATCGGTTCAATAAATAGACACTTAGAGAAATATTTGAAAGCACTAAAATATTATCGAAAAATACTAGCTATCCCAAGAAAGTTTGTTCTTCTTAACAATTCAAATTTGTCTATCACTTATAGTGGTATTGGCGAAGTACATTTAGTACATGAAAACAATTTTGAAAAGCGTCACGATTTCATCAGAAGATACTAGACATCTAAACAAAAGCTATTCCTTTTTAATTTTCTAAATTCAGCTAAAACATATGGAATCATCACTGAAATATATAATTTTATGCAATACTATTCAAAAGCATTGAAATTATGTAGCTCATAAGATTTTAAAGATTCGACAGCATTTTCTTCCTGAAAAATAACATACATGGCTACTGACATATCAATCAATACTATTTTCCGAGATTTCTTTGTTATAGCTTTAACTTTCTCAAAGTTAAATTTTGAGGTGTGGGTATGGATGAATATGAGTTATGAATGCAACGATGATGGTATACCGGTGTTTGATCGTCATCGTTACATCCCTAACCTACACTCACACCCCACTCACCCCAATATATAGATCAGTTTCAATCACAATACTAACATAGTGATCAAAATAATCTCTTCAGTTCCGTGCTATTTATTTTGAACAGTTTTCAAAAATTAAATAAAAAACATAAATCATGACACCCACAAACACAAACAATAAAGATTATGTTCTGATAAAGACAAAAGAAAACGGATAAAAGTGACAATAAGACAAACAAACACTTCAGACATTCATTTCACTATATACAACAATATTAGAAAAATACTTGAATAAAGAAAAGAAAACAATAGTGGATGTTCGGTTACCTATATTGAGGGTTATAAATCCAGGTATGAAGACAACAACTTCGCTATATTTGATTACAAAAACAACTTTACAAATAACTTCTGGTTAGAAATTTCGATTTAGTACATGTTACAATCAGAATTCAAAAAAATTGAACCTCTGTTCAAAAGAAACAAGTGTCTTTGCATGTTATTTGCAAAGCATAGTGAATGTTCACTCAAAAATGTCTGAATATATTGACTAATTGGCTTTAAGATGTGAAGCTTTTCTTTACATACTTCTTTCGATAAAATTTTAACACATACTGTTCTTGATCTCTAGCTGCTTTCCTAAGAATTTCCTCTATAACAAAGTCGGTCAGCAATTCACAACCTTTAGGAGAATGAATATTCAATCGTCCACAGCGCGTCCTCCCGTCCCTCTCGCAATTATTTGGAAATCCTTTTTTGCACTATCTGTAAGATAAAATGCATGAACAGGAATGCTCTTTTCTTTTAACTTCTGCAGTTCAAGTTCATAATATGTTAGTTTATGAAATTTCGTCTGTTTCCAATATGCTTCACCAAAATGTGCTCGTTTTTCAAGTACCTCTTGTTGGGTATTGGCTGAAGCATTTCCTATGAGAATTACTTGAGAGATCGAGTCTTCTAACTCACTTTCTTTAACTGCATGCCATAATCCAACTTCTATCGCCACATTCAAATGGCCACGTTCAGGACTAATGGTGTTCATAAATGCCCGTAAATTATTAGCCTTTGTCTCCCAAGAAGAAACTTCCAAAATCTTATTATCTCTAGAACTATAGTTTCGATAAACAGCAAATTGCATAGAGAATACATCTTTTGATAATCCTTTTTCTTCTAAAACAACTGAAGTATGTTCAAACATTGTACCGGCCGTGTCTTTAGTAGCAGAGAATAAACTTGACATGGAGTCTGTTGCATCCATAAGCAGTAGTGTACACGAACTCCCTGAATTGATATTTGCTCCACGATTCTGATTAAACAAAAACCTTTTGATAATGTCCATTTTTCCTTCGGACAATGCATTCATAAAATTTCTAGAAGCTTGATGCTCACGTCTGCATTGTTCTATGCCAACTTCTTTCGCAGCACACTTGCTTTCATAAAGCGTGTTACGAGCTTTGTTCAAAGCGGCATAAAGAGCAGAGCCTGTGATTTTTGGAATATCTTCTTCCCATGCAGCATCAAGAACCCATTCTAAATCTTTATCTAACAAAACCATTCTATATGAACCACGGTCTCCTTGCCGTGCTCCTCCTCTTCCCATTATTTGATATTCTTCGGATAGTTCTTCGAAAAAACAATGTTTGAAGTACATAAATACCACCATTAGCTAATACTCGTTGATTTCGACAAATGAAATCAGTTCCTCGTCCGAATGTTCGAGTCAATAATGTAACTTTCCCTTCAGAAGCTGCACGTTTAATACAGAATTCTCTCTCTTTACTGAAAACTTTCTCAGTGATAGTTTGCACATCCTGTTTAATAGATGACCAGTCTGAAGAATTATAAAATGCCATTAATTTTTCTTCCGATTCGAAAAAGACGAGAATAGCACGTTGAGCATTGCACATCATGTCAATCTCTCCTCGAGTTCTCATGAAATATTCTGATTCCTTCACTGTCTCTACATCGTTAGTAGAATTATAATTGCGATTACTTTTTCCGAAAACTGATGGCATATAAATGTTCTTAGATATCTGATAAATCTTTTGCAGGATATAGTTTTAAAGTACCAGGGTGTGGGTGTTGGGGTGAGTCTTCTTCTACCTGCTCTCCGTACCCACACCCACATTTTATGGCTATGTTCAGTGAAAGAAACACATCACATCTTCATGTTGATCCTTAAGATGATGAAATCTAATTTTATTTTAAGAAGAGGAAAGATTTTACGAGATACCTGAATAACTATTCTTCAAGAATTTATAAATGCTGAAGTGCATTAAAAAAATAATTTTTACTAGAGAAATTTCCAATCGGTGTCTGTTTTTATGGGAAATAGCAAATGAAGAACTGAAATAGTTTTGCGGAAGATATGTCTAAAGAACACTATTCCAGTTTTGAAATGTTCTATCTTTGCTAGATGACATGTCTCGTGTATAAAGTTCTTCTTCCGAGATTTCAAAAAGGATTATAGAGTATGACTTGCAAAAAATAAGGAGCGAAGCGGATAAACTTCGTCAATTCAGACGTGTACCATTAGTTATCGTGATATAAAAAGACCCTGCAGTAGTTTTGCTAATAAGATTGTAATGTTTTTTTTTAAACATATTGTCTTGCCCCATGACTAACTCTCCGGTAAAACAGAATGCCACAAATATAAACTCCACTCTCTAACTATTTCAACTGATTGCTGGAACACGACTAAGTAACAAAGATCTTGAGGCTTTTAGAGTGTCCATCAAGATTTCATACCAGGCACGAAATTTTATTCTCACTCTTACTAATAGTTGTGTCAACCAAAATCTATCCGCCCTCACAATGCATTCGTGTGTGGTACGAAACTGCTCGTGAATACGCACACACCACTGTTCTACTATCTTGCATTGTTCGCCATCCCCCACCAATTGCTAGGTGATCAAAATCTTTATTCTACAAACTTTTACACATCATTGTGAGACTAGAAGAGCTATTTTGACTTACCGTAAAATATCACTGTTTTTTTCGCTTCTATTAATTCCAATTTAACACATTGCTATATTGTTCAAAATTTTTTACTTCACTGCTACGCATAGTGATGCTCCCATGCCGATATGACCCTTAGAACATGTGTGTTGCGGTTTCGTTGTAACGCTATTGATACAGATTCTTTATTGCATTTAAACATGCTAAGCAGTCAGCAACTCATAAAAAAAGTAGCTTTTTTAAATATAAATCCATATGCTTTTATCAATTGTACTCGTCACCTTAATAATTAGTTTTAACACGGGACAAAATTTTGAATGCTTTTAAAACAAGAAAACTCAAATTTACAAATACGTATTTTATAGTGTATGTGCTCTAAAATTAACTAGTTCGATGTACATTCAAGTCACTTATGATAAATATTGATACAGTGACATGATTATCGAAATAAAACCGCTAACATATTTATTTCGAATAGACAACAACATCTCATATACTGTGAATAGTTATTTACAAGTCAGTAAAAATATGTGGCTAAATATTTTAACCATGCAATGACTATCATGATGCACTGAATCGCTTTATGTAATTAACTGCAAAAGGTCTAAGTTGATCAGATGCCAAATCGATAATTGACTTCATTCAATCGAACCTTTTATTTTTCTTCTGTCCAAGCTAATTAATGTTAATAAATAAATTATATAGCAATTGTTAATTTCCTTGAACGCCAGATAATGTTCATAGGTAGTTACGTTTTGTTGATGATCATTTCGGCGTTTTCATCGAAAAATTCTCAAAAACCGACAGAAATACTGGTCATCTAGTACAGAAACAGACAGAATCATATATCCTATGTATGAATCATGGATGTCCATCGCGACTGAAAACCTACTGCTACCGCAATGCTCTTCGAGAAATTCTAGGAAAATCAATTTCCGCCACTGTGCCAAATTAGCAGAACTGTGTAGTTTTCATCCGACTCAATTGTAGCCGTTCAATTTGGGTGCTAATTCACGAAATTGTACAGTCTCAATAAAAAAAAAGAAGCTGCCACTGCCGCGATCGTATTCTTGAAATATCGTCCACGCCACTAATGTCGTCACAAAGACGACGACAATACTGGCATGAACATCTCTGATATGAATATTGAATAAGAGAAAATTGCGTTCTTATAACATTAATTAATTGAATTTCTGTGATTTCTGTCCTTATGTTTTCATCAAATACCACCTCTCTAAAATTATTTAACATAGCCAACAATCTAGTTCTGTGCATACTCTGAGCCACTGACTCCATCATCATTAGATCATATTTCAGACCTAAAAAATCGATTTTGATTAGTCGATAATCTTTAAACATGATAAAGAATGTTTTTTCGTCTCTGTGTCGATTTTTAACAAATGATTTTTTTTCTTATCTCTTTCATCATATCTGTTGATGTTTCCGTACTTCTTTCATTTTGTCACATCGTTCCGTATTCCTTTCACTTCAATATCCATATATTAGTCTGTCTTCATGCTTTGATTATTCATTTTGATCGCCATTGACTGCTTTAAAATATTTGTCTCGTGCAGCTTAGTGAATTACTTCTCTTTCTACGGATATGATATAATGGATTAAATTTTGATTTAGCGTGTGGGTGTCGATTAAGAGAAGAACTGAACCCACGTCGACACTATTAACATTGTAGAGGAAAAGCTCGTCAGCCTTTAATTCCTATCCATCAAAGATTTTTTGCAGTGCATAATGTGACAGAGTTCATTAATATCAGAACGTTATTGCCTACAAGGGGCTTTTATTCTCCTATATCGAATTCTCCAATTTACGTACGATCAGTTCATATATATGTATATGCATAGTGATTAACACAAAAGAGAAGTGAGTATAGAAAAGAATTGATCTATGAGGTATGTAAGTATGGTAAATGTGACATGAAGAAATGACAATAAATAGATATGTATTTAAGTATTAAGAGATGATACGACGATAAAAGAGTGACTAAATTACCGAAAACAATATTGTGCTCAGGTATCAATATTTTTCATTGGATTGATATAATCATCTCCACATACTTAAAAATTGCTGTATTTTCAAAGCGTGCTGCTGTCAGCAATGCGCAATCAATATACTCCTAGAAAAATTTCACAGTGCCCCAACAAATGTACAGGTGGTCTCAAAAATTTTCCAGGGACTTTGACATTCGTATAAGCCGTCTGCGAGTCTCTCTCTCTCAGTTGACACAAGGATCGATGGATGCAGCCTTATCTGGCCACTCTCGCACCGATAGATAGCATACAGCTTTTCGCATTTAAGTTCACGAAATCTCTATGTAATCTCGTGCTTTCAGATGCAACCATGACAGATACATGAGTGAACAGAAGTTGTTTCGCTTGGTCCTACGAAATGGATGATTAGGCTCGTTCTTCTTCTATCGATGAAACCTAGTAAATTAGTGAGTGATCTATAGACTACCGACTGTCATCTTATAGATTTCACAGTGATTTGATAGTCTATACGGTTAGTCGAAGATATTCATTAATAATCTATAGCACTTGATTGCTGCCATGATACATAGAACGATTCTCAAAAAACGCTATGCTGTTCTTCCCACACATTCTTGTGATCGGAAAGTTTTCCCGTCACCCAGAGACATAAGTTGATAACAAGAACAAATTCACTGCGGATAGTACACACCAATCACATCCCTGAAATCCTTTTTCTATCCATCTAACATATTTCTCCGTGATTCGAAAGATTTCGGCACTCACCGAAGACATATAAGTGAGTAGCCTGAGATTATCGGCTCAGACTCAGACTCATGTACATTTTTCCGTCGTCTAAAAGTTTTCATGTCCACCAAAAACATATTATTAGATATCCTAATAATATTAACGGCCAAATTAATACAAGTATCTGTTCTATGTGTCTCTACGATCAGAAAGCTTTCACGATGAACTACAGACAATTCTCGAAGTCTAAGGGTGTGTTTTGAAGTCTTTTTTGCCTCACGGATTTTCTCCGTCACTAAAGCTGTTACCGCCACCAGGCGGTGTAAATCGGTTCTCTGAAACTTTTCCTCTCTCTTACACCGTTTTACCTGAAAATCAAAAGTTTTCGATGTTACCTAGAGACATCGTTTTTGGTGATCGTAAACTGTTCGCCGTCCCTCATAGATACTCCTCTAAGACTGAAACTTGTTTCGGATAGATTCATATATAGAAGGCTCCAAAAGCACGTTGCTCTTCTTCTCATGCATTTCTGTGACATAGGGCAAGTGTCCACGATTATCTAGAGAAATGAATTAGCAGCTCGTACGTTTGCTCGGGTCTCTAACACTTTGGCGGGCTCCTAGAAATTATCATAATGGCTCTAAACCGTCAGTGGATGTTCAAAAAGCTGTTGTCATCACTGAAAAATATTGAACAGTATCCTGAATTTATCTCCATTGCATTACCAGATGCTTTGCTTCATAAAATTCTTCGTATGAATTCCGCGAAGAGCGTGAGTGTGGACCTATATGAAGCTTGATGAATGAGAAGAAGAGTACTACTGAGTCACCGACGAAACCATATTCACCATACGAGACCTCTTATTCTCTCCCTTAAGTATTCACATGGAGCCGAAAAGTTTTCGTGTTCACCCTAAATGATTGGTAAATCAAGTAGAGCCTTTCACCCTTTTCCTTATGTGTCTTTGTGTATTTCGAAATATTTTGTAGTTACACTTATAGGTTGATGTACTACGCCTAATTTTCATATCAGTAGGATATTTCACAGTGTAGTTCGTAATGCTTCACCGTCCGTCAGAGATACTAGCATTTGCGCTGAAGGCTCTTTACTTCACTTTGACGCGTTGTTCTTCGTCCAAGAGTTTCGCATCATCAGCGTTGCAATTCGCTTGAGGACGTGTGAGTGTTCGCTTAACATACCTAAGTCAACACCCACACGGACACCGATCGGCATCTACACCCCTGATAAAGCTATGGTGATGGCTTGATTTTTTTTTATCGAATAACAATAGATCATGAATAACATGAAAGAGAAAGGAAAAAAGTTAATCATTAGAAACATTGGCAACATCATGGAATCGAGACGAATAGAAATGTTAAATATGTTTGTGACAAATATGAAAAAGTGAATCAACTGAATCGCTAACGAATATGCATAGATAAATTGATCAATTCCAGCAACATTGATCATCAGTTTAAAATTCATATAGGGTTTGATCATTTCCCATATTAGAGCCATATTAGCGCTATATATTTCACTTTTAAATTACTTGCGTTAGTTTTACTTTTCAAACTATTCTAATAAATAACTTACCGCAGTTCAATAATTGCAGCCAAATAGTACTGAAAATGTCGGCGACATGTTGCAGTCGACTTAGGTTATACTACTATGTTTGCTTTTTTTGTTGAAGGCTCCGTTTGTTACTTTTGATAGATAGCAATAATTTACTTTTTTATCTATCTTTCTTTTCTCTTTTATTCTTTAGATGGAAATCTTTCAGCTCCGAAATATGTCAATAAGGATTGCACTCATCAAAAGTAAATCATATCGGCTGACAAGCACACGACACAGAAATACTACCAACGAAAAAACACGTAACTAATCATTTAAGGAGCTTCGTTTCGAATGGTGTGGGTGTGGGTGTGGGTGTAGCTGTGGGTTTTCAGTTCATTCAAGCCTATAAGCACAACGATCCGCACCCACACCCTAGATGTTTCTCGCGCTTAAATTAAAAACGAATCATGTGCTGGAATGCTTTTTCATTGTTAAAACTCACTATAGCAATCGACAGTAGACTCATCGGATTCGTTCAATTGAATTTGTATGAAACACAGAAGAATCATAGAGATAAATCGAAATGAAAAGCTCTTCTCGAGATGTGATAAAAGGTAATTTTGTGAATTGATATGAGATGTTGGATTTTACTCAACTCGAAAATAACAAGACACAGAGATTTTGCAAAAATTTAACAAATTGATAATATTTTTACTGTAGTAGATATTTCTGTTGATGATCTACTTATGTCATAGTAGGCAATTCGACCTTCTCTAGTTTAACAACTTGTGAGAGAGTGTCAGAAGAGTCAAACTTTTCAAGGAGAGCTAGAATATCTTTGGATCTTTAAAAACTCTCTGATGTTTGCTTCCTATTTCAGCCTTACGAAGGAAAAAGAGTTCAAACTGGTGCTTACAATCAGACTTCATCAAGCTGTGATTGTCGTAAAAGTTTCAACTCAAACGATGCCTTTCTGGATAGTTTTTGCTTAGCAGTGGGACTTCTGTTCACGATTATAAGTAAGGAATAGTGTAGAGAGTAGCAAGTGTAGAAGGTATATAGGGTAAGCAGGAAGCATAAGTTGAATTTTAAAAAAAAAACAATTCTCATTTTATTGATGTGCTTTGTCAAAATTTAAGATATGTTTCGAACTGATGTGTTGTAGTAATGCAAACATAACTGAAAAAGACATTGAATTGAAATATATTTTACTTTTGTGAACTGTTTTTTTTTTCGAGTTTGTCATAGTAGTGTAATCAGATAGGCATTAGAAGGAAGCCAGTTTCCCTCCTTCCCTATTACCCACAGTTGAGTTTCGCTTTAAAAAGTGCTTGAACCTCCGCTGTGGTTTGTTTTTCGTTACGTTGTTAGTTTGTAAATGTTTACTATTTGTCCAATGCCTTCGGTTTTTTTTAATACGCATCGTTTTCATTTACAGAACGAAATTAGTCGATCATTTTTTTTTCTTTTCATATATTTCGAATGTTCGGTCAAGTACCAATTATGTGATAGACGATATGTAATAAAAAATATTACTAGAAACACCATTATGGCAATGCATTTGACCGGTTACTTTTTTCTGTTTTTAACTCTAATGTATTACAGTTTTATTTCAAATAATATTTCAAGGAAAAAAGCAGAATCAAGATTGTTCCTAAATAAAAATTATATTTACCCTTATCCAAATAATAAACTACTAGATATAGTTTCATTTTTAATAAGAAAAAGCAATGAATAAAAAATATCAATCCACTATTAAACATAGTTCAGATCTCTTCATTTTTTGTTTTGTTTTAAATTAATCATACTAAGAATGATGATAATTGACTGCATTCTAAAATTTAAATAAATAACTTCAAACTAATATTTATGAAGAAAATGTTTTTGTTTTTTCGATCAGTAAATTTAAACGATGAATTAATTCATTAGATTGTTTATCAATATCATTTGATGTTGCTGCTAAAATGACAGACTAAACTGTTTTATCAATTAGAAAATATTTGATTACGAACATGTTTGATAATTAGTATAAAGATCAATACAATAAAGTGTTGCATCACGGCAATTATTAGCTAAAATAGCATCTTGAACAAGATTCGCTGTAGCTTTTCCATTTACAACTATATCAGCCATACAATTGGCTAATGTAATACATTCATTTAAGAATGAAAGTGTACCAGCTAAAAAAAAGTTTTTTTTTTTTAACTTAAATAAATTTATTGCTGACAATGCTATATTTTTCTCGTTATACGAGGTTTTCTTTAGATGAGTTTGCGATTAATGTCAAACAATTAGTATCAATTATCATTTTGTTTTTTGAAATATTAACATTGATAAGGCTTGAAAGTCTTCATATGAGAAGCATATAGACTATTAGACTCAGTAAAGTCAACAGGTATTTATTTAAGAAAGGAACATCATAAACAAAAGGTTATTTTCCTCTTGGGAAAACTCTTCAATCCCTAATTCTTGTACATATTTAAATGTCTTTGTGGGGAAAAGGGGGCATCGATCTTTTGTCTGAGAATGCTTCTAATCAGAACGAGTTCGATTTTCATTGAGTAAAACTCTATTTACTAATGTTTCCCTATAATCTTACATATAATTCATCAGGTCGATTAACATAACTATGACCTGACATTTTACATATGTATTAATCCGTAGATAGAAACCTACC